GTAAGTTCTAGCCAGACTTGCATCATTAAAATCAAACTTCTTCTGCCAGTGTATTAACTTGTCTATATATTCACATAATTAGCACCTCATCAATTTATGCTATTCTGGTACTTCCTTGCATCTTCCAATCTCACATCCAACATTGCAAAAAGCAGTTAGTATCTCCTCATAAAATTCTGCTGTCCTTCACCTTCTGCTATTTTTCCTGTATGAACATCAGATTTTAAAAAGAAGAGGGGAAATACTGGGCAGACCAATGAGTGTTTAAGATATTATGTAAAATATGGGACAACCCAGAAAATGGAGGCACTTTGCTCAGTGGGACCAGATCCATCCTCGGGGCCCTTCTAGCACCCATTTAATTGCTGGGGTTTCCACGCTGGCATCTCTGACTGGGGGTATGGGGTCCAGTCCCCAGCCACGACTCCATCAGCCGGGAGGTGCTGCTGCGAGAGAAGATTCCTGCTTGGCTGTGATTTATTTTGAATTTAATTTTTAAAAACCTGTTGTCTTGTTTTTAATGTTCCTTTTGGTAAGGGCTCCTTTGATCAACCTAACAGCCTTGATTGACTCACCCCCCACTGCTATTGTTGTGAAGCGATTGTTTTACTCAGTTAAAGACAGAAAGTACTTTTTAAGAAGTTCCTTGCGGGCAGCTAGTTTGTAGACTATTTCTCCGGCTGCACATGACGGCGCATCTTTAGAGCTTCCTGGGGGTCCCCTTTATCTTTTTGGTTTTGAAAGGGGGATTGGGTTAAAAGGTGAAGACCACAGGGCCACCTCCCGCCGCCCGGTCTCGGCCAAAGTTTCTGCTGGTCAAGTTTGAGGCTTGACGATCCACAGGAGCCCCTGGACCTTGCGGACTGACCGCCTCCTCGCAGTAGCCCCCCCGGCAGGTCAGCCAGCGCGACATTTGCCGCCGGACTCCGAGGAGGCTTTGGGGGGAGGGTTGCTCCTGAGCCCAAATCGCCTCGGCCTTAGGCAGAGCCGGCAGCTGCTGGAGAGCACCTCCGTGGCTGGCGCAGGGAGCGGTGGGCGCCGGGCACCGAGCGGCACGCACCGGGCACCGGGTAAGGGACGGTCCCCGGTGACGGGACGGGGCGATGGGGTGAGGGGGAGGAAGTCAGGAAATGCGAGGAGCCTCCGGAGCGTGCGGTCCCCGGGAAGCCCAGAGCTGAGGCTGCGCGCCCGGGACGCGCGGGGAGGGCTGGGCTGCTCTGCGGGCCAGGTCCCCGCGCCCACCCTGCTTTCAGGCGCCGGACAGAGGCTGGGGAGCTCCCAGGCTCTCCCGGAGCCGAGGCGGCGGAGCGGGGCGCAGCCCGCAGGCCCGGGAACGCACCTGTTGCCAGAGAAGGACCCCACCTCCGCGCCGCCGCTGAGCAGCGAGGAATCGGGGTGGGGCCCGCGAGAGCGTGGCTCGCTCCGGCTCGCCGCCAGTCTGATCCCCCTAAACGGGCCCCGGCCAGGGCCAAGGTCACGGCGCGTCTCCGGCGAGGGCCCCTTGGGGCGGCTTCAGCAGCCTCTGCCCATCGCCGACTCCCCTCCTCTCTCCTCCCGGCACACACCCGGGATCCCGGGGGGCGGAGGGCAGAGACCCTTTGAGAAACGCGGTCAGCTCGCGCTCCCGAGCTCCGCCTGCCCCTGCTCCGGCTCCGGGCTCGTCGGAGAGCCAAGGGGGGATGAGGAGCAGGGCCGGCGCTGCCCCGGGCGCCTTCGCCTTTGGAACCCTGGCGAGTACCAACCCATTTTACTGCGAGCAAAGTTGTGGCTCCTTTGCTGTCCCTCTTCTCGTAGTTAATCTCTCTGAGAAATAGAGACCGAGGAACAAGAGTCCCAGGACAGGACTCCTGGGAGGCCTCATTCAACGTGCTTGCCCGGCTGAGGCGCGCTGTCACCGCAGCCCCCCGGGAAAGCAGAGGGCGCCCGGAAAGGAGAGGGCGCTCTGTGTCCCAGATTGAGGCCGAGGGGCTGGGCCTGGACGTGGCAGATCTGCCGCTCACGCTTCGCCAAGCTACGGGAGCCAAAAACCCTTTGGGGGTGGAGGGGGTGAGTGCAGGCGGAGGCCCCGGCCCCCTTCCCCGCCCAACTCAACCCCCTGGGAGCTGGTCGAGGTCTGTGCAGGGGCTGTGCCCAGGAAGAGAGATGTCTGGTTCGTACTCTCGGAGCCCTGGCCCCTGTCTTTCTAGTCCTGCAAGTGAGCTGTTCACTTGAATTTCGAGGACTGCTCCTCAGCACCGTCTTTTCCCCTGCAATCTTCTCGAATAATGTGGGGGAATGTTACACCTTATTTCATATTGTTCATGGAGAAAACTGGGGATTTTTAATAAGATAGAATACGTTTCACCAGCATGATTTTTCTACTTCGTCACTTGCAACCCTTCTGCTCTAAACAGGCTTTGATTTGGTACAAAACTGGAGCGCAGCATTGCCAGCTTGAAAGACAAGTCCATGCCAAGGGGTCAGGCGGGGTGGCTCCGGGAGGCGGGCGGGGGCGGGCCTGGGGCGCTGTCCGGAGGCGGGGAAGCCACTTCGCCCGCAGTGGAGCGCTCCCCGCCCCCATCCCACCCCACCTCCATCCCACCCCCGCTTGATTAGCAGGCAAGCCTCCGAGGGCTGTTGTCTGGCCCGTGCCTCTCCCCGCAGCTTCTGTCGGATTCTCTGGAACCCCTTTTCGCATGGGGAGGGGAGGCGGGGGTGAGTGTCACTGAGCTAAAACGGGCCAGTCTGGTGAGTTAAGAAACATTCCTTTGGCTTGGGTATTAGGAGTGCGTTTGGACATAATCTTTCCACAATCAACGGCATTTTTTGGTTCCTCCATTTTAAGAAACTTTTCTTCCATGGAAGTGGAGGCTGTTGTAGGATAAGATGCTTGTGTCCGAGTTTCACGGACACTGAAGTCCTGGCCTTGGCGATGGACTGTGGCCATTTTCTTTGCTTTTTACAGAGAAGCAAAGTTTGGTTAGAAAAACACATCTGTTCCAATGTTGCATCTCACCATCCGACCGGTGTTGCCAGTGCTGCTTTCCCTCCTCCTCCTCCTCCTCCTCCTCCTCCTCCTCTCCTCCTCCTCCTCTTTCCTCCTCCTCCTCCTCCTCCTCTTCCTCCTCCTCCTCCTCTTTTCCTCCTCCTCCTCTTCCTCCTCCTCCTTCTCCTCCTCCTCCTCCTCCTCCTCCTCCTCCTCCTCCTCCTCCTCCTCCTCCTCCTCCTCTTCCTCCTCCTCCTCCTCCTCCTCCTCCTCCTCCTCCTCCTCCTCCTCCTCCTCGCGAGTCCAGGAGACTTGCAGTGACTGAAGCCCTAATTACCCGAGGCTCCCGGGTAGTGTCGGTGTCACACTCTGCACCCAGACCCTCGGCACAACCTGGTGTCTGTCTTCGGTTCCTCCGCGCCCAGAGCGTGGCGGTGCCCAGTTCTCTTAGAGGCCGCCCGCGGGCGCTCTCCCTTCCGGGGATTTCTACCCTCCCACCCCTCACTCTGCCTGGCTATTCCCGAGTAACAAAAACACAGCAAGGAGAAGACAAACCGGCGACCTAGGCGCTCGCACTGAAAGCTCCGAACTCCAGGCCTGTCCGGATTCCCAGAAACACTGTGCGGGGCCCTCGGTGCCCGCGCGCACACACAGGCCCTCCCAGACCCTTTCGCTGCCGAACCGCTCGCTCTCTCTCTCTCTCTCTCTCTCTCTCTCTCTCTCTCTCTCTCTCACACACACACACACACACACACACACACACACACACACACACACACGCCCGCCCGCCTCGCACTCCGCCCGGGCACAGAGGCCGCCCAGCTGCGGGCCCGGGCCTGCCCCACCTGGGTCCGCGTCGCGGGGGTCCGGCGGCCGCGAAGCCCGAGCAGGAACACTCCGGGTCCCGGGAAGCTTTCCAATCCCTTATTTCCTCCCCGCCCCTCGGCTGGTTTTCCTCCCTTCCCCTCTTAAATATGCTCTTGTAAACACTAAGATTCCCCCCCACACACACACCTCCCAGGGTTCCAGGTCTAAGAAGTTAGAGAACTGGGCAAAGCTGAAATTCTTTCAATTTCTTTAAAACCAAAGACAAGACATAGAAAGCTTTACACCCATCTCCACAGCAGTGTCAGGGGCAAACCCATTGCCAGATATGACTCTCCCGTTGAAGCCACACCAGAAGGGCCCAATTAACAGAATGAACGCGGTATCTGTTTATGAAAAGCGAACTAATTAAAAGAAAAAAAACTTGAGAGAACGCCCTTCGACTGCCATCTCGCCCCCCCCCCCCCGCCCCCAACTGCCCGTGGAACCTGCCCTCCACCCGCCTCTGCCCCTGAAACCGTTCCACTCGGACTTCTGTGCCATTTGTCCAAAATTGAGAGCAGCTATGAAAGGGAGGAGAAACAATGTTTCCATTCCTTTCTCCAAAACAGCAGAGGAATCCCTGCCGGCCTTCCTAGCCCCTTTCCTTCCCTTCCTTCGCTGTCTTAGGTGTGATTTGTTTAGGGAAATTGAGAAGGGACTTGGGGTGGAAGCAAGTTTTTAAAAAATCGGGAAGGCGTGAGCTGGAGTGGTGAGTGTGTCAGTCAGAGGGTTTGTGCCTGGGGGCTCCTAGCGGTTCTCAGCAGAGGTGTCCCAGGGCGCCCCGTAATGAATATGAATAGGAATCCTTGCTAAATGGGACAGCAAAGCGCACCGCCCTGAATGATGGCACGTCATCCTAACCAGCCCAGGATAGATAGGAGGGTTTCTTTTGTCTCTTTTCTCCGCCGCAGCTCTATAAAAGCCCCTCTTTTTCAGCGCGAGGTTAGTTCAAGCGCACACCAACTAGCTGTCCAGGGACCTGCCTACCCAGAGAGAGGGGAGTGGGCGGGAGAAAGGCGGGGAAGGCAGTGCCTCAGCTTTTCTCCTCACGTCTTGTCGCTGAGAAGTGGGTTGCTGGGCTGTGCAGATTTAAAAAAAAAAAATCAAGATTTTCTTTAATTTCCCGCCTCAAGCCTCCCCGCGACCGGGACGCATCCCCTGTAATAAAATGAATTCTGATTCGAGCTCTGTCTCCAGCAGAGCCTCATCTCCGGACATGGATGAGATGTATCTGAGGGACCACCATCACCGACACCACCACCACCAGGAGAGCCGTCTCAACTCGGTCTCCTCCACGCAGGGCGACCTGGTGCAGAAGATGCCCGGGGAGAGCCTCTCGCGGGCCGGCGCCAAGGCCGCAGGTGAGAGCAGCAAGTACAAAATCAAGAAGCAGCTGTCGGAGCAGGACCTGCAGCAGTTGCGGCTGAAGATCAACGGGCGAGAGCGCAAGCGGATGCACGACCTGAACCTCGCCATGGACGGGCTGCGCGAGGTCATGCCCTACGCGCACGGGCCCTCGGTGCGGAAGCTCTCCAAGATCGCCACTCTCCTGCTGGCCAGAAACTACATCCTCATGCTCACCAGCTCCCTGGAGGAGATGAAGAGGCTGGTTGGAGAGATCTACGGGGGCCACCACTCGGCCTTCCACTGCGGGACGATGGGCCACTCGGCCGGCCACCCGGCGCACGCCGCCAACGCCGTGCACCCGGTGCACCCCATCCTGGGCGGCGCGCTGTCGTCGGGCAACGCCTCGTCCCCGTTGTCCGCCGCCTCGCTGCCAGCCATCGGCACCATTCGGCCGCCCCACTCGCTGCTCAAGGCGCCCTCCACGCCGCCCGCGCTGCAGCTGGGCAGCGGCTTCCAGCACTGGGCCGGGCTGCCCTGCCCCTGCACCATCTGCCAGATGCCGCCGGCACCGCACCTGTCCGCCCTCTCCACGGCCAACATGGCCCGGCTGTCGGCCGAGTCCAAGGACTTGCTCAAGTGAGCAGCGGGCTGTCCCGGCTGCGGAGAAGGAGGGAGCGCGGCGGGAGGGGCCGCGGTGCCGGGCCGGGAGGGAAGGGGGAGGCTGGGCCCTCGGCGGGCGGGAGGGTGGGCCTGGGCCCCGTGGCCTCCCGCACAGGCTGAGAGATCTCAGACCCCACTGGACCCCCGGAGGGAAAGGACCAAAACCAAACTGCAATTTCTAGGTGGTAGCGAAGGGGGACTCGAACCAACGTCGCGTGTTCCGCATGCATGCTTCTCCCCAGGCCGCGCCGGTCTTCCTCACTACCGCATGCTCTTATCGCAGCTGCATCTGTTGTATGAACGGGGGATCCGTGCAGTTAAGAACTTGCGAAGGGACTTTAGAGTTGGCTTTCTCTGGCTCTGTGTTCTCACCTTGAAAAAGACAACCATCCCTTTTGTGCAAAACAAATGTAAATATTTCCTTTAGAGGGTGCAATTCGGGTGGTCGCTGTCCTCTCTACAGTTGTTTTGTTTTCTAGAGACGAGAGAGAGAGAGAGAGAGAGAGAGAGAGAGAGAGAGAGAGAGAGAGAGAGAGAGATAAAGACCCAAGTTCTGAATCTCACCTCCGGTCCAGAGCATGACATCTTTTATGTGCGTTTTCCCTGGGACGCAGTGTAGGTCAAAAGAATGCATGCACGCTTCTACATGAATCTTGTCTAAACATGTTGTGCAGGCCGTGATGCCATTTTCCTTGTAACAAGGATTTATTAGTGAATTCTCCCAAGTACTCCGTATATCTGTCTGTGGTTGTTCGAAATGAAAACGGGGGCAGAGTGCAAAGACCCAAACTCACGCACATGCGCTTCTTCTCCCACCCAACCCCTTCAAACCCCCATTCCCAACCTTCCACCGCTGTTGGAGGGGCGATTGCCAGAGCCTGGGCTCCTTCCACTAGCTTGCCTCACTCCCCCTTGCTCAGTTATTCTGCATGCGGGGTAGGCTCTCTATCATCAGCTCTGAAAACTTATCGTGGTTGGGGGCGGGGTGCGTTTTTATTTTCCTGAACATTTGCTTGAAATATTTTGTTAGGGCTTCAAAGACAATACCTGTCTTTATTTTTTATATATTCTTGATAACTATGATATATTTATTAATAACCAGTGTTTCTGGATGAGATTTCAAATAAAAAAGAACCTTTAAATCCTGGTTTTGCCTTTGCCTAAAATTTTTGAAGATGGGATAGTGGGTAGGGAACATGTGGACCCAGAAAGGTGTGTTTGGGTCTGGGTGAGAGATCTGGATGGGTGAGCAGATGTGAAGTTGGCTCTGGTCATTTACAGGTAAAGAGGTCACATAAATTGGTGTTAATTATTACAACTAAATGTCCTCCTAATGTGGGCATTATCGATGTTGGTAGCCTTGTGATATTTGAGCTCCTTGTGTCTCTGCAATAATCAGACCCTCATAAACTCAGCAAATTGAGTTGTTGTTGTTTTTTAAGTAACCTGGAAACCCAAAATGGCAGGAAATTAGAGGCAGAGTAGTCTGTGGTGGTTGTGTTGGCAACAGATGAGAATGAAGCAGTAAGTTAACTTCTTTTCCCTTTAAATGGCCCATGTGGCCTTTAAAAAAAAACACAGGTTAAAATGCAGTATATGTTTTAAAAGTCAACAAAGCGTGATTCTAGAAAAGAATCAAACCCAGCCCCCTGCCTGCTGGGGCAGCAGCCCCTCAGAGAAAAGGGAAGGCCGCTCTGCTTTGTAAAGTGAGCAGGGTGAGGCCAATGACCCGCCCAAGTCTCAGTATCTTGCAGATTTATAGGGGCAATTCTCCCTTCTTTCCTCCCTTAGAAGATGGCAGGTCTTTAGTTGAATACAAACTCTTTGCAAGTCTTATGGGTCGAGGAGTGGGGAATGAAGAGAAAAATCTACATTAATGATGGCTAAAGCAGGGCTCATTTAAATAAATTACTTTACTCTCTTCCTCCCTCCGTCCCATAACAGTTCCAAATCGTGTACATAAGCCAAAGTAATCCAGCAAGAAGGCTTTGTTTGTTTACAGAGGGCGAGAAATCAAATTCAAGTGATGATAAACCCAGCAGCACATGTCTGTATTTCCCACTAATGAAAATCAAAACCTGATTAAAACATGTCACCCCATATTTGCCTCTGGACTATAGGTAACATCACCTCTTTGTTGGTGAGGCCTAAACTCCTCTTCAAGAGGGGGAGGCCCGAGGTGTCCCCCCACCCCCCCCACCCCCGCCCCCAGGGCCATAGAGCTGTCTCTCTCTCTCCAGCATTCAGCATGGACAGCACAGACAAGAAGCACCTGTCTTTTCCTTCCTGGGCCCCGATGCCTGCCGGCCTACCTGGTGCTGCCCCTCCCTGAGAGGGCATCTCTGTGGGTCCAAGCTCCATTTAACTCACTCTCCATATCTTTGTACCCCGGCACCCCCTCCCCACTTCCCCACTGTCAGGGAGAACAACCAAAGTGCCAGTCTACAGTGGAGGGTGCTTATTTCCTCTGGTTTTTGGCAGACAAATGGGAGAATAATCGTTTGTTTCCCAAGAGTGATTCATTTCTCTGGGTGAGCAAAGAGCTGTTGAGGATTTATTTGAAGCCAACACAAGGCAGCCCTCCAGCCTTTCCTGGGGAGTTTATTATTTAGAAAGGGGAGGGGACAGAGCAGTTCCATCAATCAGGAAAACGACTTTCCCCTGAGCCACTTGCTTCTTTGAGCCCTGCTTCCAAAGGCCTGGTTCTGGGAAGAAACAGACTGGAGGCCTGGCCACTGGCTGAGCAATGGGCTTCACTCCTCTCTAGAGCTGGAACTTAACCTGGGTGCCGGAAGGAGTAAGACCACACTTCCTACCCACAGTGCTGGCTTTCGGGGTCCTGTTGCTGGGACAAGAATCTTTTGAGTTATCTCCGAGGTCAATCTAAAGAGCTGTGGGTTCCACTCCCATGGGCCACTACGCTAAAAAGAACCCGAAGCCCAGAGAACTCTCCCTGGGTTGTCCAGAAGCAGAAAAGTACTAGTAGGCCTTGCTTCCAACTTTGAGGAGGTCTCCCAAACAGGCTGAGCCCTATTCTGGGTCACAAAACTCCTTCCTCCCCACCTCCCCCGCCCTAGAGACTGGGAGAACCGATTGGAACAGCGCAGGAACTCAAGAAGGAAGGCGATTTGGGAGCCAGGTCCTTGGGAGTTTATTGATTTATTGGGTAGGAACAGTCACCACTTGCATCCCCAGAAAGGGCCTTACAGCGGTGGGAGCTGGTAAGCTGGGGATGTGACTTTGCAGGCAACTCTTGCTTGCATGTCCCCTTGAATTCTCCAATGACTGACGCCAGAAAAAAAATTACATGGCCTCAAACCTAAGAATGGTTTTTCGGGCAGCGCGCGCGTGGTGTAAATTTGCCACTGTCTCCAAAGTTCTGAAGTTTCAAGTTTATAATTCCCCCTAGAAACACGACAACGATTCCCCCTAGAAACACGACAACATCCCTTCATTCCAAAAATAAACGTTGCTTTATAGTTCAAAGGAAGGCGAAAGCTTCCTGGGCCGAGATATCTTGAGAAGCCTGGGTCAAAACGCCCCTGTGGTTTAAGTGGGGGAACTTCAAGGGCGGGAGAAAGAGTCGCACTTAGAAGGGGCAAGCAGGCTGCTAGCCCTGGGTTTCTAGCGAGCCTCTCCTGCGCCCCGGGCTGGTGTGGGTTTGGGTTTATATCCTGAAAAGGGGTGGCCTGAGCAGCCCACGAATCCGAGGTCTTGCGTCTCCTCAAACTTTGTTTTCTAGCTGCTGGGTCAGCAAGGTTTTGTCGCCTCCACTAATACACGTAGCGGGGATTGCAAAAGCCCTTCCCTCCCCTCGGGGAGGCGGCGGGCTCTCCCAGCACCTCTCTCAGCTAACGAGACTGAATTGCGCTTTCTAGGTCCCTTCTGGAGACCCAGGCCCCGCTCGCCCCCTCCCATGCCCGCGTTCAGGGTGCGCTCCTAGCCCTCCCACCGCCGCGCGCTCCCGCCGCTCTGCCGCCCTTGGGGCTCCAGGGACAGGCCTGGGGCGGGGGACAGGCCTCCGGGGTGGGCGTGGATCAGCCCCGAACGCGTTGGAGACACCCCACGGGAGCTCGGCCTCAATCCTCGAGGCTCTTCTGAAATGGACGGGGCCAGAGGGTTCAGTCGCTGGTTCGCAGAGTCCTCCCCGGGACACCTCTCCACGGCCGCCGCTCCGGGCCCGAGCGGGAGAAGGGGAGCTGTGCAGAGAGGACGTTGGGCCGGCGCTCCCACCTCGGCGGCTGGGGATTTAGCCTCGCCGGGTAGCTCGGCCCCGGGGTCCCGGCTTCGCGGGTGTAGGAAGCGAAGCCAGAGGAGCAGCCCAGCCGAAGAGCGAGCGCCGGCAGTGACTTCGGAAAGAAACCGGCCAAGAGAGGAGCCCTGGTGGCAAGGGCGCACCTGCGTCTTCCCTGTGTCTCCTCAAACTTGGGGGAGGATGAGTGTTCTCCCTCCGCACCCCTGCCAAGTCTCTGAGCCTCTTGTGTACCTATCTCCCTTCTGAGTAGCGGGGAAGAGGCAAACCCCGAAGGTTTGGGGCTGCAGAGTCTCGATTTTTAGTTTTGCCCCATTTTCAATGACGTCCCTCCTTGGGACACTGCGGTGGCTGGGCTGCGAGGGGGCTGGAGAGCGTGGGGTGCGGGGATCCATCAGGGCAGAGAGCAGGAGACCCGCCGGAATCCGCTCGGACTGGATCCCTCCCGAGCCCCTGGTTTGGCTGGGTGTGTGGCCTCCCTCTGTCCTCTTGTGTCCGGCAAAGGGAGCGGGTAGCCGGCCCTGGTCGGTATCCCACGCGGCGGGAACTGGCCCGCACTCGCCTCTGCCTCCGGGACCTAACGCAGAGCGGGGCTGAGACTCCAGCTTCGTGCCAAGCTGGGGTCCCGTGGTCGGGGCTGCATCCCGTGGGGAGTGTCGGTCTCCTGACCCCGGTCCCCGACTCCTCGCTGTCCGCCCCGCAGGCCCGGAGCGGCCGGGGCGCAGGCG